CCTTCTAATTATAAACTATAATACCTAAAGTATGGCCTTCTAATTACAAACTATAATACCTAAAGTATGGCCTTCTAATTACAAACTATAATCCCTAAATTATGGCCTTCTAATTACAAACTATAATACCTAGTTTTATTCTTATTCTATATATATATTTATCCAGCAAAGACTAAGTTAAGAAGTCTGGCAAGGAAAGGATTAACGAGATTCCCACTGTCCCTATCTACTATCTAGCGAAACCACAGCCAAGGGAACGGGCTTGGAGAAATTAGTTATTTTTACAGTAAAATGCATACCTATCAGTTAAAAAGTCAGAAACCAATTTCAAAGCTTTTTCTGTGTCAGTCAAAACAGTTTGCACTGCATTCAATTCGGATTCCTTGGGATATATAGTGGAATGTTTGGCCATGACATGACGATCATCCGCAGAGTCTGGTCTAGATGTGGGACGACCCTGCAGAGAAAAATATTCTAAAATGACTTCTAAAACATGAGTATCACACACTACTGCTACAATATGGCATTTTATCTCCCCCACCCAGATTAAAAAAGACTAAGTAATCTATACTTGTGTATGCTTAACAGTGGGTTCAAATATCTTGCCTCTATATTTTATATTACCCTCAAAATACATAAAAGGTAAAAAGTGCCCTGAATTGTGATGTATCATACATAAATTAACATGTTTCTTTACTGTGGCTATCCCATCGCCTAAATAAAAAAAAAACATTTTACAAAATTTCTTATTGAAACATTTAAAAATAATGAACAGCAAATCTATAAAACAAAAAGTAAATTATAACAATGATTCCTATTGCAAATAATGACTTCTCATAACTTCTCAAACAATCCTTTTTGTTTGTTTCACACGTTTCATAGGTCATTAAATATGGTGTGGAACAAAAATTAAATTATAACAATGATTCCTATTGCAAATAATGACTTCTCAAACAATCCTTTTTGTTTGTTTCACACGTTTCATAGGTCAAAAAATATGGTGTGGAACAAAAATTAAACTATAACAATGATTCCTATTGCAAATAATGACTTCTCAAACAATCCTTTTTGTTTGTTTCACATGTTTCATAGGTCATTAAATATGGTATGGAGCAAAAATTAAACTATAACAATGATTCCTATTGCAAATAATGACTTCTCAAACAATCCTTTTTGTTTGTTTCACATGTTTCATAGGTCATTAAATATAGTGTGGAACAAAAATTAAATTATAACAATGATTCCTATTGCAAATAATGACTTCTCAAACAATCCTTTTTGTTTGTTTCACACATTTCATAGGTCATTAAATATAGTGTGGAACAAAAATTAAATTATAACAATGATTCCTATTGCAAATAATGACTTCTTAAACAATCCTTTTTGTTTGTTTCACATGTTTCATAGGTCATTTAATATGGTGTGGAAGTCCAGGTAAAGCACTTACAACATTCTCCTAATAATTCTAACACATATGCACAATTTATAAGTGGAGAAAACTTTGAAAGATTAAAAAATACTTTTTTTGGCACATCTTTCATAACAGTATCTTAGTAATGTCTTTATTTCACAGTTTCAAATTGTAGCATTGTGAAAAAAAAATTATAAATTGAAAACAAAATTGGACAATCATCTTAAAACCTGTAACTGCTTGGACAAAAAAGTATGAATTAATAAAAAAAAATGATGGCTAAACGAGTATTATTCTATTATGGACAACAGAAAAATTAGTAAATTTGTTTTTTTAGAGAACTTTCATCAAGTAGTAACTACCAGCAGTAATGTTAAAGAGTTTTTACTGGTCTTTCTACATGTCATAGCTCACTGTCTGACACAAAGTTTCTAACTCACCATGGTCATAGCTCACTATCTGGCACAAAGTTTTTAACTCACCATGAGTGGCATCATAGGAGGCCTCAACGGAGGAGTCCCAAACATTGATCGTGGTGGAACTGGCATTGGTGGTAAATCTCGAGGATCGCGGCCAGAACGTATTTGCCATTCCATAAATTCTAATTCTTCTTCATACCTACGCCGCTCATCCCAATATATTCTCTCTTCTTCTTCCATAAGTCTGATTAATGAATAATGATGATTAGATTTAGAGATACATGTGTAGTTACATATACATATTTAATTTTCCAGAAGTCTTAGCACGTAAACATTAAACACTGTAATTCAGAACTAGTTAAGAGAACATTAAATCAACCAATGTTCACAAACAAAGCAAATACAATTCAAGATTTAACATAAGGTGTTCTGAAACATGTATTCTTTACCTTCTTTGAATCATAGACTTAATATTTAGATTAAGATATACCAATATGACTGAAAGAGCAATAAAACAGTCATGCACACAAATTCAAGTGTTTTTCAATCTTATCTGGGTTATGATATCCCTCGAATTTTGCATGCTTTTCATATTAGAAATACTCAAATTGTAAAAAAATAAGCATGTAGTTACAATATAGTTTAGTTACGGTTTTAAAAAAGTTCATATAATTGTAGAATTACTATTATTTTTAAGTTGTGAGCTTTCCAAAATTGATATGTGAACTATTTAAAAAAAACATTAAAATACTTCTTCTCTTCTGAGAATTAAAATTTTTTTATTGTTGATCCAAAAGTTCCATTTTATGCATCCAGTCCATTTCAACTTGATTCATGTTCATTAACATTTATTATGATATTTTATTTTACATACTTCAGTAGTTACCACTTCTGCAATAAATTTAAAACAAGAAAACACTGAAAACTGATAAATATTTATCAATGATCTAGAACCCGACCTTACAAAATGGCACCACCATTACTATACCCTTTTTTTTCTTTTTTTAGAATGACTTCAAATTGCAACATAAAACTACATTTGTTTAACCTAAATAGCTTTTAACATTTAACAGTATACATTTGTTTATACTTAAATTGTATTGTTTTATTGCCCTTTGAACCTGTCTAAACTAATATTTGCACCACTTGGCAAAAATGTAGCTCACGTTACCCTGTCGAAATACATAAGACACATCATACTTCTCATACTACGGGAAATTCATAAGTCCGCAAACCTACCGTTGTGCCACTAGTGGGGCGACTAATCTTGTCAGACCAAATAGTGGGATTTGACTGTCAATCTTATAAGGCACTCATTGCCCTAAAATGCACAGTCCAAGTTTTTCTTTTTTTATGATAACAAGATGATAACTACTGGGCCATAATTGACCAACAGAGGAGGAAAATCACATTAAAATAAGACATGGATAATTACAATTTCAAAAAATGATAGTTTATTTGGAAATATAAACTGATAATTTGGATAGAAATATTCTATAAAAATCAACAAGTGTATTGCTAAGTCAAGACTGCTTAGAAATGAAAGTTGAAATGTTTTTTTTTTTTTACATTTTCCTTTGCAAGTTACATTAGATAAATGTTTCAAAATGAAAAAAATGAATTCTAAAATATTTTTGAGTTAATTATTGAGCTGCTTTGAATATTATATGCAAAGGATACAACTACTTGCTGTTAACATTAAACATATTTCTTTAGCTATAGTTTACAAAATAACCAATCATACCAAGAAGGGGAAGTTATCTTGAGAAAATTCAGAAAGTAATACAAAGCTAGATCAGCTAGATATATCATAAAATCTGAGATCATATATTTAAAATGTTATATAAATGCTATTTATATGCAAGTCAACAATGCACACACATACTGGTGTACTTGTTTTTAAAAATACATACTAATCAAACTTCACAAGTAATTATCAAAGAATAAGAACTGGAATTCTAAGTTTATGAAAAATATTTTCCCACAATGAAAATAACTTCAATACAAATTTCTATCATGTGTACAATTAAAACTACATTTCATTATTTACACCCGTTTGCAGGGTGATTTAACCTACTTGACTCTACCATTTGTTCCTCATGTGGAAAACCAATATTTATGGAAAAATAAGTGGTACATAGGTAATACTAACAATGAATAAATATAACAAATAAGCCACTTTGAAATTTCAAAACGTCTACACAGGAAAATCAATACAAAAAAATTTTTAAATCATTTTTAAATAACAAGTTTTAGGCTTTATGGAAGTTTAAACTTAGTTACAAGTGTAATGATCGTGTACTATAACAACCAGTCCATACAATGATCCACAACTAACAACGTATGAAGCAATGACACCTTCAATCAAACTAAAACAATGGAATGTAATGGATGATATTTCTGTTTCTGAAGAACAAGCAATTATAAACACCACTGTTGTTACAGCTGAGTTTCCAAAATATATCAGGAATAATAACACAAAAAATTACATATATGTTGGTAATAAAAACTTGATCCAGGAGCAGAAAAAAGCCAGTGAACCATTAATTATATGCCAGGCAGGAAACTACAATGTACATAAATGTTTTATTAATTACCTTATTATTATAAACAGAAAAAATAAGTCCCTGTACTACATTAATTATGTTATTTATGATGAATTTGTTTAAAAAATATTTTGTAAAAAGTTTTTAAACAAAAAAATTACATATTAATGATTCAAATATATCACGTTTGTTAGCATACATTTTTTTTGTTCTTCCTGTGTTATATCTTGTCAGCTTTAAAATCATTCTGCAACTTTAGCAAATATTTCTTCTTGTCTTAAAATTCTATTGTTTAAGAATGTTTCGAGAAATGGATATATTTAAATTATTCTTTAGATGGCGTAGTGGGCTTTATGTTCTAACTGCTAGCAATTTATCCACCACTTAAAATTCTATTGTTTAAGAATGTTTTGATAAATGGATATATTTAAATTATTCTTTAGATGGCGTAGTAGGCTTTATGTTCTAACTGCTAGCAATTTATCCACCACTTAAAATTCTATCGTTTAAGAATGTTTCGAGAAATGTATATATTTAAATTATTCTTTAGATGGCGTAGTAGGTTTTATGTTCTAACTGCTAGCAATTTATCCACCACTTAAAAATTTTTCTAACAAATCTGGGATTGTTTGTCACAGACTGCTTGAATCTGATAAAGGTCTGAACTTCCAGTTTGAAGTATCTCCAAATTACAACAGTCCAATGAAGCTAATATTACCCAAAATATATGATTTTTATAAAATTATAGCTTCTATTAAAAAAAAAAAGATGTTTATTTTGTGCACAATTTCAAAATATCCAAGTTGATGTTTCTGATGGTATTAAAACATTCTATTCCTTTCATTATTTGGCCTTACAAGTGTTTTTTAGAAGGAGATACAAATAAGAAATGAAAATATTTATTGGTCCAAGTGTATTGAGTTGGATGGCAACATTTGTTAATCCCATAAGTAAAAACCACTAACAAGTTTCTTATTATGTACTTGTAATAAATAAGACAATCAAATGTTTAATTAAAACTTTATTTTTTTCAATTTAATGAATGTCACCAATAAGGAAAAATCCTGATTCACTATAAATGAATGTAAAAAACGAGAGTACATGATTTCTTAAAACAAGGCTGAATTTGGTGAGAGGTCATTCTTCTAGTGACTGGTTACTGTTGAGATCAGTGATCACAGTGTTTAATGCATTTGGTATAGTCAGTCACCTACTACTAGTATCCAAGTGTTTTTTATAAAAATAAAAAAAAATTCAACTGAAATGTACTTGCATCTGTGAAGTAATCAATGTGTTAGATGTACACACAACTTTTATATTACATCATTCATAATTACAAGATACTGAAGTGATATTCATGTTCAAAAATATCAATTACTTTCAGTGTGAAGTTGAAGCTTATACAGCTTATCTTTGGAAGGTTAATAACGCTTTTGTACATGTTATTTACTTGCAATTGTTACAAATTTATACTTCAAACACTGTATTTTTATAATTTTTGGAAGATTATGTAAGTACCATTAAACTACTTCTTAAGCACTGTAATTTAGATAGTTTTCACATGGTTTGAGAGAGTCTGTTGAAATTTCAAAATGAACATATGTTGTATGAGATAAAAGCCAGTTACAAACAACACAAGATTTAATTTACTCTCACGCATATGACCTACTTAATCATCAGATTTACATTGTTAGACTTAAGCCACATGTACACTACTGTTCTTAATGAAAATAAAGTGTTCAATATATTAGTGTTGGTGTTATTCATGATAAAAACACTCAGACATATAGTACACATGAAAACCTTACGTTGCCACTTGGAAAATAAAAACTAATAACAAAATATAACTAATTAAACCACTGGCTTCATCACGTATGCCAAACTCTTGGGTACAGATAAGTCTATTGGAACAGAAAAGTTAAACACAGTATGATACATATTACAAAGTTCAAGAAGACAATATCATGCTGAAAAACTGGCAAATGCCAATTCATTACTATATAGGTCATTAACATATTAAATAATGTGTTTGTAATTAATCATTACATGTGTAACACTGAAAACGATGTTCCACTTTTCAATCCAAATGGTTCATCAATTATCCTACCAAAAATTATTACTTTTTGTCAGTTATAAATTACTTCAATGTTAGTAGAAATTGCAAAAAAAAAATCCAAATATACGTTAGGATTTTATAATGTCTCCAGTTTCTTCTCACCTCATTTCTTCTCTCAAACGCTCATCCTCGAGACGTCTGTAGAACTCTTCACGTAGCTGTTGTCTCCGTAACGTACTCTCCTGAATCTTCCTCTGTCGTAAACTAGGTTTAATATCCACAACAAGCTCAGGATCCACTTTTTTCTAAAAGAAATATGTTATACTTTACAAACAGAAACTTTGCTATCTTTGTTAAATAAATTTAACACATTATTGTTGAATACACACAGCTACATATAAAGGAATTGTACAGTTATACATCAAGTACTAACAGTTACTTTGAAATAAAACATCATTATATCATTTGATAAAATAACAAGTGAAAGCTTATAAGAAAGCCAAAGCAAGAGCCATTTTTACAACAACAGATCACCTTTTTATAATTAACAACCATGGCATAAACCAAAGTTATACACTATCGTAAAAAGATTAACATATAAATAATCTCCTTAATAATGTGAAAGCACTCTATGGCACTGACAGATAATCCAACAACAAAATGTGTCAAAAATTAAATGTAATTTTTCTTTTACTTTTATACACTGTAACTGAACATTATTACACACAATATCCTTGTAAAACAGATTTTATCCCTTTAGAGGATAAACATATTTGAGAAAATACATAACACAATATCTATAAAAACACATTACCTATCTACATCACAATCTTATTTTTTGATAGGTATGTAATAGTCATAAAACTATATATTAACTCAAGGTCGGCTGGAAAATACTATACTAACTTATCTAGCACCAGTTGGCACTTTAAATATGATTCTCAGGGTAATGTTGAAAGCATTGAAGCACTTAGTTACATCTAACTATTGACATTCCACATTCCATTACAATCTACCATGCATGACATCTTCCCTTATCGTAAGGAAGAAGATGAGTATATCCAGTATTTGGAAATATGAAAACTCTTTTGACATTCCTTTTGTGCCACATATCCAGCATCAAGCTTGAATAAAGATAAAAATACATACAAAGTAATCTAACCATTCTTGAACTATTTGTTTTAAATGAAAGTCACTGAAAACTCATACAAATTTCTGAAGTAAAAGATAACACAGGTCTGTGATGGTTTTACTGTCTTGAAATTTTTTCATGTTCTACAGTAATTCCTATACACTGAATCCAAAAATGATATCCATTTTTCTACATCACATACAGATTTTTCACAAAACGTCATAACACAATACATAAAAGAAAGACCACAACATGTAGTTTTGAGACTGAAATATGTATATTTAACAAAAAAAATCAGGATGAATGAGAATGCATATTTGTTTGACATCAATGTTCTTAATTTTTCTTCAGTTTGTTTGTATTTCTGTTAACAAACAT